ATTGGAAAAAATGGCTACTGTTCATCACACTAGTCTACTCTAATGTTTTACGAGGAATTTTGTTTTGAAACTTTTGTTTTGTAAAAAATATGGAACATAGTCACACTTGTGGTGTTCCCGGTCAAAAATGACCGGCCTATAAAAAATAGCTTATAAATTACTCATTATACCATATTTTCACCCAATCTTGGATTCAATCTTTTTGTCAACTTGTTCTCTTTCAATTAGGATTGGTTTTATATTTCTGTTTTCATCTGATTAACTGTGGGCCTCGTTTGTCTGAGAGTAGGCATCTAATTTTTTGAGTAAAAAATAAATAATTTATGAGTAAATTTGGAAATATGAAATTTTTTTTTTGTTGAAAAAAATGGCTACTGTTCATCACACTAGTCTACTCTAATGTTTTACCAGGAATTTTGTTTTGAAACTTTTGTTTTGTAAAAAATATGGAACACAGTCACACTTGTGGTGTTCCCGGTCAAAAATGACCGGCCTATAAAAAATAGCTTATAAATTACTCATTATACCATATTTTCACCCAATCTTGGATTCAATCTTTTTGTCAACTTGTTCTCTTTCAATTAGGATTGGTTTTATATTTCTGTTTTCATCTGATTAACTCTGGGCCTCGTTTGTCTGAGAGTAGGCATCTAATTTTTTGAGTAAAAAATAAATAATTTATGAGTAAATTTGGAAATATGAATTTTTTTTTTTGTTGAAAAAAATGGCTACTGTTCATCACACTAGTCTACTCTAATGTTTTACCAGGAATTTTGTTTTGAAACTTTTGTTTTGTAAAAAATATGGAACATAGGCTACGTTCACACCGCAGGCTGAAACGACCTAATTCCGATTTTTTTGCCCTTATGCGACCTGTATCTGATTTTTTCATGACAGTCTGATCGACACAGATCCGATCTTTTCAAATGCGACCCAGGCCACTTGGGCATGTGGTCCAAATCCGATATGTATCCGATCTTTTGAAATGCGACTTCAATCTGAACGGCCAGGTCACATATATCCGACCCGCACGTCGTTGCACGCACCTGTAGCTAGCCAATACACGCTAACTCCAACGCGTTTCTGCACTGTTATGGGCCGCTGCAGACGTGTCTCTTCCCCAATGTTGTGCCTGAACGCGTTCATATACTGTATTACTGCCTGATGAACATTACTGTGAACACGTTCATTCTGGTGTCTGTGAACGTGCGCTCTCTGTCAGTATAACTTTATACATAGGGTGCCAGATTGATTTCTATAGAGCCTTCCAGGCGAAAACCTGGCTAAAACACATGTAAACATGCTTTAAAATGTAGCGAAAAAACACCCAATCTGGCAACACCAGCCACCAGTGTCGCACCGCGGCCGCCGGTGACAAAGCAAGGAGCGCCGTGGACGCGCACTATCAATTAAACAGGTTTTATGACGAGGTCGGTGAGGATCAGAAAAATCTTACATTTATGTGCAAACTTTGCCCGTCGATAAAATAATTGTTGTCTGTGTTTGTATATAGGCTGTGGCAATAATAATAATAAAACAAAAGCTCGCAACATATGGAAAAAAAGGACTATTCCGCAAAAAACAAGTGACGTCGTTGACCGTTGATTACTCTTCTGCGCATGCGGGTCACTTCTGGGTCATTTCACGTTCACACAGGAGATCACAAAAGGTCGCATTTAATTGGAAATTTGAGCGGCCTTGCAAAAAAATCTAATTTTTTCAAAAAATCGGAATTGAGCATTAAGCCCGGCAGTGTGAACGTAGCCATAGTCACACTTGTGGTGTTCCCGGTCAAAAATGACCGGCCTATAAAAAATAGCTTATAAATCACTCATTATACCATATTTTCACCCAATCTTGGATTCAATCTTTTTCTCAACTTGTTCTCTTTCAATTAGGACTGGTTTTATATTTCTGTTTGCATCTGATTAATCGTGGGTCTCATTTATCTGAGAGTAGGCATGGTCAAAAATTGTCACAATGGACGACCAGTGAAAGTGAATGGGAGAGACTGAAAATAACTGAACAATTTAGTTTTCAGGAGCATGTTCATTATTTTTATGTACACATATGAGCATGTGTGCTTGCAAACATCGAGCCCTTGGACCTGTGCATGTATCGATACATTTATACACACGCTACCCAGACACACACACACACGTTAAAACACACACGCTTTTTTGAGTATTACACACATTCTTTGCCACAGAGAGAAATGAGTCCCCACTATTTTGTGAGTCAAAAATCTGATGAATAACATCATGTGCAGAGAGCTGCTTTGCCATTTTGCTGCCACAAATGAATGACAAGCAAGGTGCTGCAGACGCAAAATGGCTGCCCAAGCGAAAAAGGAGACCCATAAATGTAGTATTTGTGGCTTATAAGTATTGTAACGACAAATAATGATTTGCTTTATGTTACATTCAATATTGTGTTCATATTTACGGTCAGTTTCTTCACAGAAACGTTTGTTAAAAAAAAAAAAAAAAAAACGCTAAAATTACTGTAGTTTGCTAACGATAGTCCCGCAACATATTTTCATGTCTGGCAACTGGTGAATGTAATTGCTGAAGGGAATTGCCTTTATTTTTACCTTACATCTGCTATGAACGTCGACGGCATCTTGGAAGTTGTGATAAACATCGGCGCATCTCCTGTGACGACGACTTATAATGACGTTTAACGGAGGCGTAGGGGTGTCCCATTTCTTAGGGGAATATTTTCACCCCTACAAAGAGACAGAGCAACAGTTACAGTCTTCTTTTATCCTTTCCATGACCATGTGACTAAAACCCAAATGTGAGACATTCAAACTGACCAATCAGATAATTACACTTCCCCCAGTGTTCTAAAGGTGTGACAATTCATTGACCCCCAAAGTACACAAATCTTGGCCTACAGGCCTTGATCACTATCAGCTCCTCTGTCTTTGATCCTCCAAATGGTCTTTGTGGTTAAAAGAAGGGGTGAAACACAGTAAAGATCATTTCAAATGTCTTAGATTCTTTTCAATCCTACATTGACAAACAATATATTTGAAAGCTTACAATCTCTAGTTGTCAATTTAATCTGTAGTTTTACAGATGAGCAGTAATTTATTAATTAGCAACAAGGATATTTCACTATCATTAGGCGTGTTCAGGCCTTTATTTTGAAAAATCTCTTTTTCAAAATAGAGAACATGAAAAATCATAGAATATTGGTAGAAACTCAGTTTGTTTTCATGGCAAGAGTTCAAAAGATAACACCAGCAAATACATGTTTTGTATTGCTTGACGTAAAGGTTGAATACAAATCAAATACTGCCAAACCGCCCTTATTACTTTGGGATAGAATGACTACTTTTATGAAAATTATGGAAATAAATGGTGCAGATCACTCCAACCATAAATGGAAATGGAGTCAACCTTATGTGATCAATAATGGAGCTTGGATGTGATCTAGTGGAAAAAGTGTGGTACTGCGCCAAAACAAACACACTGAAAGCAGTTTTAGACTAAAACATATATTTTATATAAATAGTTATATTTTAAGATTGTACATTTTAATAAACTCACTTTTTTCCCCAACATGTTAGAGCGGATAGTGATTTTTTTAATATCTATGCGATAAAAAGGGGGGTGAGAGTAAAGGGTTCACGCATTTAACAAAAGTGCCCCACTGCGGTTATACATCCATACATTACTAACTGAAGTAATAACTAATAAACTACTCATTAATAAAATTTTTGGACAACAAAAGGGCAGACGTAATGCAAAGATTATAATTTGTATAAAAGTAGTCAGATGAGATCTAATTTGATTTGATCGAATTTTTAACACACTTTTTCACACTTTGCTTTGTTTTTTTTTTTTAATAGTTCACTCCTCTGAGATAACGCACCCAGACTGAAAGTTAAACTGGGTGGAGCTCAGATGTTTAGGAGGGATGGCAAAGCTACCCACTATTTCCAGTAAATCAAGCCTGACGCACTCCTGAAATATAATCTCCATTCATACAATAAGATTAAATTGTATTAATTTTTTTCTTTGTTGTATTTTATATAATCTCCGTGCTGGGTTGGAAACAGACTTGTAAATATTGTACAAAACATGTGACAGAACAATGATCAGCACAGTCAAAACCATTAATCTTACCTTATTTGGAACAAATTTGCTCAATAATCAGTAGTTCAAGTTTTCTAAAAAAGAGAGAAAAAATAGAGAACAAATTGACTTTTTTTTTTTTGATTGTAAAATGCTGCATCATTTGGGTTAATTATGGGCATATCATAAGCCATATCCATTACCTTAGTTTGCTGTTAAAAATGAAGCGAGGAATATTGATCTATATGCAGACCCCAGAAAACACAGGGCTACAAATAAACGACTTGAGGAGGTGCACTTTTTCAAGAAGGGAAAATTAGGGTGTGGAAACAGTAGAAGAACTACAAAGACCAAGTAAAAGACTACAAAAGGACTGGAAATCATAAATGATACAAAACACAAGACACTAAACAAAATACCTAACACTAGTGCATCCTAGACTCAAACTAATCATAAATTATCCCTGAAAGTTAAAGGAGTAGTTGACTTTAAAAAAAAAAAAAAAAAAAAACTTTTGTTGATAATTTACTCACCCCCATGTCATCCAAGATGTCCGTGTCTTTCTTTCTTCAGTTGAAAAGAAATTAAGGTTTTTGATGAAAACATTCCAGGATTTGAAATAATTCATTCCAATGAAATAATAATATACTCAACATTTCTAAAGTCTACAATGAAATAAATGGTTCTACACTCATTACTGTTTTGTCTATTACACCGAATATCATGTGGTTTAAAATTAATAGTTCTTTTTAGCAGATCACATGCATTTAAATATATATTTGAACAAGAATTTAAATCTGTATGCAATGACGTGTTCTATTATTATTTGTTTTGTTTTTTTAAATGCACATATGCACTTTCAAGATTTTAGCGTGTGAAGTTGTGAACAGGACTTTTATTTTGGTAATCCGATGTGACGTTTTAACGGTGCGCCGAGCTCCAGCCACTGTTGTGATTCGGCTAAAGACAGGTTTGTGTTTTGAAGGATTTTAAATGTTCTAATTAATACAAACCGTTAATGAAATGTTCTAGTTATTCAAAGAACTGCAAAACTAAATATTTATTATTGAATGTAACATTGTAATGTTTTATCTAACATTGATGAAGGATATTTTTGTGAGTAACGCTCATCCCCACTTGAGCAACAGAAAGAGTGCGTCTCATTTCGCTACCCATTTCGGGAATCAGCTCATCGTAAACACTAATTCACACACTGTTTAGTGGTGAAGGAGAGAAAATGAGCAATTCGAAACGAGTCGTTTGAACCAACTCACTAAATGATTCACTTGTAGCCTCGCAACAGCGCGTGCTGACGTCACCTGCACGTCGCAAATCCATTACAAATGTTTCTTTTCACTAAGTTATATTTGTCTATTATGTGTAATCTACAAATGATTAAATATCAAATAAAAACAATAACTAGCTAAATATGAAATGTCTGAAATTTGCATTCTTTAACACATTAACTCTCCAAGTCCATTAACTCTCTCTCTGACTGACTCTCTTACCAGTGAACTGAACTACTGAACTAGATCTGATTGAGACACTCTCAGAGATTTAGTTTAGAGTGTTTTTAGTCTAATCAGGTCATTTAAGTCCATTAACTCTCTCTCTCTCTGACTGACTCTTCTTACCAGTGAACTGAACTACTGAACTAGAGATTTAGTTTAGAGTGTTTTTAGTCTAATCATGTCATTTAATTAACTCACTCTCTCTCTGACTGACTCTCTTACCAGTGAACTGAACTACTGAACTAGATCTGATTGAGACACTCTCAGAGATTTAGTTTAGAGTGTTTTTAGTCTAATCAGGGGCCTCATTTATAAACGTTGCGTTCGCACAAAAGAAGGCGTACGCCGCTCTCTACGCAATAGTTGGTATTTATTTATAAAAAGCAAACTTGACGGTAAAATGTGCGGTCCTTCACGCAAACTCTGACCCAAGCGTACACACAAAAACGGGTGAAATGAGAAATGGCGACACCGTCGGCAGTTGGAAAAAACACATGAAAGTGTGTGAAACTGTAGACGGTTGTGTAAAATAAATGGCAATACTGCCTCTCATAAATAAAACGAAGACTTCACAAAGCAAGTCTTACAATTAACAGCCTACACGAACACCCGTTTGATCGATCTGTAACAAAAATGCAAATTAACACATATTTCCAAAAAGAAAGATGTTCTTCAATAATATTGGCATATACAATTCATCCTCATGAATAAGACGGTAAACAGAACGAAATAATGTACAAAACTGATATTCTCGCCAATATGTCCGTCTAACGGAGCAGACCCAGACAGCAAACTGACATTGAATCAACGTGGAAACGACGTCTCTCATGACATTGAAACAACGTTGATTTTGCTCATCGAATTAACGTTGAACCAACGTCAGACGCGGCATTCTTCAAAGCTAAATGAAAATCGAAAATTGGTTTGCTTTCATAACGTTGAAACAACGCGTTGATTTCAAGTTGATTTTCCGTTAGTTTTGAAAGAATGACGCGTCTGACGTTGGTTCAACGTTAATTCGATGAGCAAAACAATGTCAGATCAACATTGTTTCGATGTCATATTTCCACGTTGATTCAATGTCAGTTTGCTATCTGGGGATATAGCAATTAGATAGTCAGTCAGATAGATAGATAATTAGGGAGGTATATATATTATAGATAGATGTATTATTTGTCCACTGGGGAAAGTTGTTTTCATTGTAAAAATACCTTCATCAGCTCCGGAATCATGGTATTCACGTATATGCCTTTAGTTTGTTTTATTTTTGATAAAGTAACGTATGACGTGTCTCAACCATTCAGAAAGCTGCAAGAAATTACATTTGCGCTGAACTATATCCCAATTAGATTATAACCGACATCCGTAGCTTGTCAGATGCAGAATTAAATGGATGGAAATAAAATGCCCCATTACAATGCGTATAATGACGTACAATGGCTGATCTTGCGCTCTTAGAAGATGTGGCGATTAAATGGAAGGATTCGGAGTGAACGCATCATCTTCACAACAGGTGTGGAAAAAATATATTATCTATTGAAGAATTCCCTCATTGTGCAGTTTATTTCAGTTAGGACAGTCTTGATTTCGCCCAACTCCTTGCCCAGACAGCAAACTGACATTGAATCAACGTGGAAACGACGTCTCTCATGACATTGAAACAACGTTGATTTTGCTCATCGAATTAACGTTGAACCAACGTCAGACGCGGCATTCTTCAAAGCTAAATGAAAATCGAAAATTGGTTTGCTTTCATAACGTTGAAACAACGCGTTGATTTCAAGTTGATTTTGCGTTAGTTTTGAAAGAATGACGCGTCTGACGTTGGTTCAACGTTAATTCGATGAGCAAAACAATGTCAGATCAACGTTGTTTCGATGTCATATTTCCACGTTGATTCAATGTCAGTTTGCTATCTGGGTGGCCACCTCTCTAAATGAATTAATGACTATACACTTTTTTGCCTCGACTTTGATGTCCGACCATTTCTTTTTTATTTCGGCCACAGTCCGGTTGTGAGGCTACAACATTTACGGCGTCTGCAAACTTTTGCCACTCAAGTGGCTTTTTGGCATTAGTAATGCCCACACTGTGCCCTCCAAACAACATTTTTCTCCTCTTTTCCACCTCGCCAACGATAACTTCTACTTCACATTGAGTGAAGTTATGTTTTTCTCTGTGTTTAACATGATTTCGCAATTGATGAATATAAACTTGTGGGCATTTCACAGACTATTTATGGGCAACTATGGGCGTGACATGAAGTCGCAAAAGCTGCGCTACATTTAGAACTGATTGTGATTTATGAAGGGGAAAATGCGTAGGATGTGCGTGCGCACGGTTTTATAAATCCGAATATTTCTGTGCGTACGCACGTCGTATGTTTCATCCGTACGCCACTTCTGACGCAAATCCTACGCAAAGTTTTATAAATGAGGCCCCAGATCATTTAAGTCCATTAACTCTCTCTCTGACTGACTCTCTTACCAGTGAACTGAACTACTGAACTAGATCTGATTGAGACGCTCTCAGAGATTTAGTTTGCGGTGTTTTTCTTTCTGTTAATTATTCTCATCTTAAACAGGACAAACAGAGAAACTCCCAGTGAAGCAGCTGAGATCCACGTGACACTATTATAAAGATGGCGTTTATTAAAGAGGAGAGTGAAGACTTGAAGATTGAAGAAACATTCAGTGTGAAACATGAAGAGACTGAAGAACAAACAGGTTGGTCTCATTCTAAAAGTCATTTGGTCCTTATTAAAATATCCAGCTCTACATAAATTAGTGATATTTCTGAAGAGTGTCCTAATTAATTCAGTTATATTTAACACTGAGTGTGAGATCACATAACCAGACAGTCCTGAGACAATCCTGATTTCACCTTGAGCATTTGTTATTATGACATTACGGATCAAATTAGGACAAACAAGTCTTGTGTTTTCAGTTCAGATTAATTTTACACAATGAAAAGATTTTATTTATATTACTTTATTACGTAACAGCATCTTAAAAAACATTTGTTTTATAATCCCTGATGAGTTTGGAGAGCACCAGATCAGGGACCATTCCTCCATACAGAATCTCTCTAGATCCTTCACATTCACATGTTCATGTTGGCGCTTCTTCTCTTCAGTTCGGCCAACTCATCTTCGTTTGGTCACACACCACAAGGTGTCACTGTGGCCTCAAAGTTTCAGCACTGCCATTCTGAGGTTGATTGCTGATGTCTGTGTTAAAACACACCCCCCTCATTAGAATACAGAGAAAGAAATGTTGGAATAAATAAATGTGAAAATAATTAAATGTGGAAATAAATAAATGTAGACATAAAAACATAAATACATAAATGAATGTGGAAATAAATAAAAGTGGAAATGAATAAATGTAGAAATAAATAAATAAATGTGTGAAAAATACAATTATACATAAATATGGAAATAAAAGTATAATTACTCATTTATTTTTTACTTTTTTTTACATTTCTTTGTGTATTTAATTATGTATTTATTTTTGTATTTTTGCTTTTTTACATTTCTTCGTACATTTATTCATGTATATATTTATTTTTAATTAAGTCAGCTTTGGCATTCCATAGTTTTCACTTGATTAGATATTCATCCTCTGCAAAGCTGATAACTACGGCCCGTTCAAGTGAACACTGTACGAGTCATTTGCTCTGCCATAAATTGAGTGATTCTTTCAAAATTCCCAATAAATTAATGAATAATTCCCCTTGAGCTAAATTGACGTTTCCCTTCCAGTAGCCACAAAAATGATATTCCTTGGAGATGATAGACAATTAAAGAGTGTTTGCTAGACAAAGTTTAATTGATTGTAATTTTAATTTTACTACATCAAGTTAATTACAATCCAAATATGTATAATAAATTAAAACAAGTTATAATTATTAATATTTCCAATGGGCTAATTTTGTCATGATGTGAGGAAATGTAAAACTGAGTATCATCTGCATAACATAGTGAAATCTAATGATTATGTCCCTCAGGGGAACAAGGAAAAAAGCAGAGGACCTAATACTGAGCCCTGTGGCACACCATAATTGTATTTGATGAGATGTCTCACACTGTGTTAGCAGTTGGATTGTTTGGACCTAAACTTGTACCATTGCTTGTCCACAAATGTCAACATAAATCTCAAGATGTCCAGGAGATTGTCATGCTATGTTGTTGAAAGACCTAATTTCACTAGAAAAGAGATTTCGCTGTGATCATAAGTAATACAATAGGGCTTAAATTCTGACTAAAATCACTGAAAATCTGTGAAGAGTTACAAGCATTGAAGAGTTGAAAAGAGTTTCTGAGGTTACAGGTCATTTCCTTCAGTAGCTTAGTTGGGTAAATGATCTAGCATACATGTTATTGGCTTTGATGCTTTAAATGCCTAAATGTTTTGATTTCTGTTGTTTTTTGCCAATATGCTGGAGTTAATTTGTATATGCCTCTTCTTGTCTTAGACCTGATGCCACCGAAAGAGGAGTGTGAAAACCTGAAAGAAAATGAAGAGAAAGAGCAGCATGAGAAACATCCTAATTTCATAACTGGAGAAAAGTCTTTTAGTTACTCACAGACTGAAAAGAATTCCTCTCGAAATATAGCTCAAAAGACAGGAACTAGTAATTCTTTAACTTGCTTTATATGTGTAAAGAGTTTCAGTCGTCATGGAAACCTTAAAGTCCACATGAGAATTCACAATGGAGAGAAGCCTTTCACCTGCCAACAGTGTGGAGTAAGTTTCACTCAGAATGGACACCTTAAAGTCCACATGAAAATTCACAATGAAGAGAAGCCTTACACCTGCCAACAGTGTGGAGTAAGTTTCAGAAAGGAACAAACCCTTAGTTATCACTTAAGCATTCACGCTGGAGAGAAGCCGTTCACATGTGATCAGTGTGGAAAGAGATTCACTCGTAAAGTAAACCTTTATAACCATTTCAGGACTCACTCAAGAGAGAACTGTTGTCATCAGTGTGGAAAGAGCTTCCCAGACATGAACCGCCTTACCAGGCACATGAAAATTCACACTGGAGAGAAGCCTTTCGAATGCCATGAGTGTGGAAAAAGTTTCACTCAACAAGGAACCCTGAACATCCACATGAGAATTCACTCTGGAGAGAAGCCTTACACATGCCCTCAATGTGGAAAGAGTTTCACTGTAAAAGGTCACCTTAAATCCCATGTGAGAATTCATACAGGAGAGAAGCCTTACAGCTGCCAACACTGTGAAAAAAGTTTCACTGAAAAAGGAAGCCTTGTAAGGCACTTGAGAATTCACAATGGAAAGAAGCCTTTTACCTGCAAATTCTGTGGAAAGAATTTCACCGAAACAGGACACCTTGAAATCCACATGAGAATTCACACTGGAGAGAAGCCTTTCACCTGCCAACAGTGTGGAAAGAGTTTCACTCAAAAAGGAAACCTTAACGTTCACATGAGAATTCACACTGGAGAGAAGCCTTTCACCTGCCAACAGTGTGGAAAAAGATTCACTGAAAAAGGAACCCTTAAAAGGCACATGAGAATTCACACTGGAGAAAAGCTGTTGACCTGCAGTGATGAATAAGTTTCACCCAAAAAGGAAACCTTGAAGTCCACATGAGAATTCGCTTTGGAAAGTGTGTCCTTAGACCTGTAAACTGTGTGGGAAGAACATTTCTTGAGAGAAAGTCTTCAGACATGAGTTCACGTCAGTTATACATGTAAAGAAACCCTTATTTGCAACATAAGGATTTACGATGTCGTAAGTGAGAAAGAAGTTCACAGAATAGAAACACCTTAAAGGGTTAGTTCACCCAAAAATGAAAATTAAGTCATTAATTACTCACCCCCATGCTGTACCAACCCCGTAAGACCTTCGTTTGTCTTCGGAACACAAATTAAGATATTTTTGATTAAATTTGAGAGCTGTATAACTACCACATTGGCTCCTAAGGGACTGCCTCTTGACGGCCCAGAAAGTCAATGAAGAAAATGTTTAAATATCCCAAGTGACTACCGTGGCTCAACTATATGTTTATCAAGCGACGCGAATACTTTTTGTGCGAAAAAACAAACAAAAATAACGAGTTTATTCGACTATTTCTTTTCTTCCTTGTAGGCCAGAACGAGACTTCCTTATAGATTTCCACGACGCATGCGCGAGAATTGCGATCTGAAGTAGTGTAAGCTGGTGTAAGCAGATCGCAATTCTCGCGCATGCGTCGTGGAAATCTAAGGAAGTCTCGTTCTGGCCTACAAGGAAGAAAAGAAATAGTCGAATAAACTCGTTATTTTTGTTTGTTTTTTCGCGAAAGTATTCGCGTCGCTTGATAAACATATAGTTGAGCCACGGTAGTCCCTTGGGATATTTAAACATTTTCTTCATTGACTTTTTGGGCCGTCAAGAGGCAGTCCCTTAGGAGCCAATGTGGTAGTTATACAGCTCTCAAATTTAATCAAAAATATCTTCATTTGTGTTCCGAAGACGAACGAAGGTCTTACGGGGTTGGTACAGCATGGGGGTGAGTAATTAATGACTTAATTTTCATTTTTGGGTGAACTAACCCTTTAAGAGCCACATAACTCACATTGGAGAGCAGTATTTCATGTGTTGTCACTGTGGACTTGTTTCCTTTAAGGAAACATCAACACTCTCATGAGAATTGACACTGGAAAGAAGCCATTCACATGCAATCACTGTGAAAAAGGGTGTCAGTCATAAAGTAAGCCTTAAAGAGTCAGTTTACCCAAAAATGAAGTCATCAATAGAGCATCACAGTCCCACCCACAGCCGGTGCCGGAAGTAAAAATTCAATACAATTTCTCCATTGACATTTGAGATATAAGCCATAAAAACGTAACCATACATGGTAGACTTAAAACCAGCTACGGCTGTACTAAGTGATTGTATGTGCTCATATAAACGCCAAAAGTTCATGGGGCACTAACCTTGTTTTAAGATAAATGCCTTTTATTCGCGATGTATTGGATAAGTACTTCATTACCCACAATCCTGAACAATCCCACAATCCAACAGTGATGCATCTGATTGGTGGAAGTCGTGTCACGTGTCTGAAACCCCGCGAAGGTACGTGAAGACTGAAGATCGCGTGATGACGTAGGGCTAAGTTCATTGGTCGCACTTCTGAGACGCCCGCGCGCCATTGGATGTGCAGTTGTCACAGCTTAGCTAATGAGCGAGCCTGATACTCAATGTTTTTGCATGTTGCGCTGCAAATGCGTTTGCTTCAGTAAATCGAGGAAAAGGAGTTTCCCTGCACATTCACTGTATAAAATTCACTGGAGGAAAAAGTTCACGTGCCCGTCGTCAGATTTGGAAGTCGCTCAAAAGGCTCTTTCACGGTGGCTTTCAGACGACTTCATTGAGGCGCGGTGGTTTATGGGAGGAGTAGTTCCTTTGCTCGGAAATTAAAACATGTACACAGGCTTGTACCCTCGACTTTTTTTGTATTTTCTCTTCGTTGTTTCACTCGAAATGATGTGTTGTATCGTATGCTTATGAGTTCAGCCGTAGCTGATTATCCTCAGACATGCTCTAATACTCTTTGGATTTTACAAAATGTCAATGGGAGAAATGAATGGGAAATTTACTTCCGGCACCAGTGCTCTCTCGGGCTGTGGGCGGGACTGTGATGCTCTATTACTCACTCTCGTGTTATTTCAAATTTGTAAGACTTTTGTTCATCTTCTAATAACAAACAAATACATTTTTTAATGAAATCTGAATTTGTTCCTCCTTTGACGGTCCACGTAACTTAAAGGTGCTGTTGAATATTGGCGAAAATGCTAACTTTAGCCTGATAGCAGTTAAAGCATACGTCCCACCCTCCCTGCAAATCGCCGTCCAAAGCCACATCTCCTGGAAGCATGAATGTGCACAGCCCAGAAGACCAGAGACAACGTTACTGCAATACATAATGTGTCATTTACCCATGAGAGAACTTTATAGTACATAAAGTAACAGTACTACAATACCAAACGTAAATACATGCTTTAAACCAGAATTAGATCCAGCAAGTTTTCATTTTGTTTAGCTAGCAAAGCGTGCTAGTTAGTGTGTAATAATATTTCTTTAATGACAGGGTTTCCATGAGAGTCTGCTTGGCTCTGATGAAGATATATACACTCACCTAAAGGATTATAAGGAACACCACATTATACTGTGTTTGACCCCCCTGTGCATGTTTGTTCCACCTCCAGAACTGCCTTAATTCTATGTGGCATTGATTCAATAAGGTGTTGAAAGCATTCTTTAGAAATGTTGGCCCATATTGATAGGATAGCATCTTGCAGTTGATGGAGATTTGTGGGATGCACATCCAGGGCACGAAGCTCCCGTTCCACCACATCCCAAAGATGCTCTATTGGGTTGAGATCTGTGACTGTGGCGGCCATTTTAGTACAGTCAACTCATTGTCATGTTCAAGAAACCAATTTGAAATATTTCGAGCTTTGGTGCATTATCCTGCTGGAAGTAGCCATCAGAGGATGGGCACATGGTGGCCATAAAGGGATGGACATGGTCAGAAACAATGCTCAGGTAGGCCGTGGCATTTAAACAATGCCCAATGGGCTTTATGCACAGCTACTTCCTGAACTTCAGCCAGCTCCTTGTTTCCAGTCTGCCATTATTGGGCAAAATTGATTAATTCAGGTGTGTCTGATTATTGTTGCCGTGACTACTGAGGTCAAGCACACCTGAATTAATCAATGTGTCCAATAATGACAGACAGGAATGTCACGGCCCCTCCTCTGCCTTGCAGGGGCGGTTCCTCCTGCAGGCGTAGGAGGGTCGTTAGTGATTGGAGCCACCTGAGCTCAGGGTATTTAAACTGCTTCACTTACCACATTTCTCTCTGTCTCTGCTCCTCCAGGTATGATCCTGTTGTTTGTTCCTTTGTAGTTTTGCTTAGTTTTCACTCAGTCATGTTTGCACACACAGATTCACGCATCCCTGCACTTTACATACACCTTACATTATGCCATTTTCACACCTCATTCCCTTTTCTTTGTTTAAAGTTAACTTCCTTATTTACAATAAAGAACTTTTTTTGATTGGCCCATACCTGTTGTTTGTGTCCCCTCATTTTTGTCACAGGCTATGAGCCGGTCTGTGACGGGAAACAAGGAACTGGCTGAAATTCAGGAAGTAGTGAAGCTGTGCACGTGATGCTACTGATTGGATTTCCGTCAAAATCTGATCCATTGTTGCCGTGCCGATAGCTCCCACAGGGCTCGTTTCGCCCGTGGTTTCGCCATGGTGATCCTCAGCAGAGGAACATGCGGTTGGCTGAGTCTTAGTTTTCTTCCTCCCGATAGACGAGCCGGGCGATGAAAAAATAGGAAAATCTTTGTCGCGAGGAGGTTTAGGCATACTTGAGAGGAGAATAACCAATAAAATGACGTCTGTTTGGAAAAAGGGGAATATAATCTGTGGTTTGGCAAAGAGCGAAGTCTCAAGCGTTCATCCTGCAACGGGTCACGTGACCACCCCCCACCATTGTATCATTAATGTCAGACTGATGTTTTCTCTCTTGTGGTGACAGATGCACAAATTCCAAGCACTGGGAACATATCCACTTCTCCTGGGGAAAAGGAATGCATCAGGATGTTTCACAATGGAAATAATAACAAATCATTCCTTTTCCTCCCCACAGGAGAAGTTGTCAATAGACACAATAACAAATATTTTTTCAAGTGTTCTAAAAGGTAACTCTACTGCTACAGACTTTCCATTTAACAGTTTTAACCATACCTTAGTACCATACCAGTACTGGTATACCATACCCATACCATAAAACCAATTTTAATGGCAATCAATGTACAGTAGTCAAATTCTATTTTTGGCTGTAGTTATCCCATTTGGAGCAATGGCTCCTTTCCAACTGAGCAGCCTTTCAGGTTATATCAATCTAAGGCTCATTTGAATGTACAAATAGAGATTTTTCATCTGGTATCTACACAAGGTCCTTGCTCCCGTCCAACCTGCTAATGTTCTGGAATTGATTTGCACTTTGTCCAATTTGAAATTGCAATTTTGTAATTAGATTTGCATTTTAAATGAGCGTACAATTGTTTTAAAAGAGATGCACATAGTAATTTCAGTGGTTTCTTTTAAGTGTTAAAAAACTTGCTTTGATGAAAACTAATTTCAACTGCAAGTTTGACAATCCTTGAAAGCAAGCATATCGAGAGAAATCACAGTTAAAAAAATTATAATACTATATATAATATTATTTTATTATTAAATTAGGTTGCATGATATTATGTGTTCTATATCCATATAGCAATATTAAATATAATTGCTTATTATGATGTTAATGATGTTACACATACAGTGCGTGTGAGTTAAAGATATAATTGAAATTGTTCTGACAGCTTGTGTTCTGCTAATTTTATAGTGAAATATTCTGCCCTGGAAACTGAAGTTGAAAATAACCCCTGCATGTCCTCCAGCGGAGAAGATACCGGTGATTTCAACACTCAAGTAGAAGGAGATGGTCCCAGTGACAGCCCCAGTAGAGAGGAAGTAGTTACTCTGATCCTTACTCCAGTGGATCTCTCATCTGAATCCTCATACACCTTCCTACCAGCCATTAAAAAGAGGATCCTTGAGAAGTCTAAAAGTAATTATGTATCTTTTTTTTTTGGTTGAGAACTAACAATTGTTTCTAACTAAAATGTCAAGTATGCACAAGCATCTAATGTATTAAGTACTATTCTTTCTAACTGTGGCACAACCTGTTTTATTTGTCACCGGCATTTATATATTTT